CCAGTCCATAGAATAGTCCGTAGACTAGTCTATAGAATAGTCCGTAGACTAGTCTATAGAATAGAGCGTAGGTTAGTCCATAGACTAGTCCAAAAACTTGTCCACATACTACTCTACAGACTAGTTCATAGACCAGTCTACAGACTAGACCACAAACTAGTCCCTAGAGTAATCAAAAATCTAATGAATAAACCAGTTAAAAGTTCTTGCTATTTTTAACTTTATGACACGATGTTCAGGATAAATTATGAGGCCAGTTTCGGATTCCACTTATTACTTATTAAAGAAAACTTTGATTCCACCATTTTGTTTTTAGTTTTGTAAATACTATTTAGTCTACTCCTTGTTACAAAATAATAAAAATTAATATTAAAATATTTCATATACATACATAATATTAGTTCAAATTTTCAGAATTATAAGTTTCCTTACATTCAGTTTTTCTTTTTCAAACTTTTTCAAATTGAAAATATTATATCGAAAATTAGTTTTACGAAAACAAATTCGAATTCGAAATATTTGGTAGCTTATAGTTCGTTACTCAAAAGAGAACTTTAAATTTTATGTTAAATTAATTTTTGTAGGAATTTTCTTTGAAGAAAATTTCTTCAAAAGAAAAGTTAAATTTTATTTAAAATTTTGTTTTAAATAATTTTTGTAGGAATTTATTTTTTTGTTTAAATAATGTTTTTCTTTAAGAAATATGTATAATATGTTAAATAAAATAATTTTTTTTTTTTAAAACATATTTAGGAGGATTTAGTAGAGAGTTTTTATTCAATAAAATAGAGTTTAAAATAAAAATTAGTTAAACTTCCAGTAATTGGAAAAGGTGGTTTAAAGAAATAAAAATTTCGAAATTTTCTAACATAAGAAGTAAAAATCCCATTGACGCATTACCTTCTGCCGAAATAATTATCATCCTAAAAGTGATTTCCGCGCCTAAAAGCTTCCTAAACTTCAAAATTATGTATAAATTCCAGAATAATTTTCAAGCTTTATAAAGCTTAAAAGCTTTAAATTCTGAAGATGTTTCAAAAGCAAACATAATAAGCTTTTAAGTTTTCTATTATTTCCAGAAGCTTAAAATCACTAAAGCTTTCTGTAAAGTTGCTCAACTGCTTCAGTGATCTTCATTAAAATAGTCCATTCTCAGACCAATGTTATTCTTTTATTTTTCTCCCAATATTTCCTAAAGCTTTAAAAAGCTCTCTATTACAACTTTATTTCTTGTTTACTAACACCTTTACATTTATTGGAAGTTTATTTAGAAGTATTTGATTATTACTACTACTAGACCTACAGATATTTAAAGTATTTAGTGTAGATATGGACCGGCCTTAGAGAATTAAAAAAAAAAAAATAAAATAATACAAATTAATTTATTTATTTATAAAAAGTAGTCTTATTTTAATAAAGTAGTTTATTATGTAGTTAATATTTTTTTCTTAATTATATTAACAAATTAATAACATAATTCTTTTGAATATATCCAAAAAACAAAAGCAACAAGAACAAGATCCAACAAATTTGTATATAACAAATTTGCCACCATATTTCAAAGAGACTGATTTAGAGAAAATGTTATCCAAGTACGGGCATGTGGTATCAACCAAAATCTTATGTGATGCACAAATGAATTCAAGAGGTAAATCGGGGAAATTTAAGTAATATGGGAACTGGGGAGGTAAAAATCATGCATAGTATGGAACAGTCAATAGACTATACCATAGAGCACAGACTAGTCCGAGTTCATAGACCAGCCCATAGAGGACAGACTAGTTCAAATACTAGTTCATAGACAAGTCCATAGACTAATCAATAGACTAGTCCATATAATATACCATAGACTAGTCAATATACTATTTCATAGTCTAGTCAATAGACTTGTCCATAGCCTAGTCCATAGACTGGTCAATAGACTTGTTCATAGACTAGTCCATAGATTAATCAACAGACTATACCCTGGATTTGTCCATAGACTACTTCATAGACTAGTTCATATACTAGTACATGTACTAGTTCATAGGCTAGACCGTAGACTTGTCCGTAGACTAGTTCATAGACTAGTCCATAGATTAATCAACAGACTATACCCTGGATTTGTCCATAGACTACTTCATAGACTAGTTCATATACTAGTACATGTACTAGTTCATAGGCTAGACCGTAGACTTGTCCGTAGACTAGTTCATAGACTAGTCTACAGACTAATCCAAAGATCAGCCTATGGACTAGATTATGGAATTGTGTATGGACTGGCCTATGGTCCATTCTATTGATTAGTCTATAAACTAGTCTATGGACCAGTCTTTGAATTGTTCTATGAACTAGTCAATAACTAGTCTATGGGTAGTGTAGGAACTAGTTTATGGGCGAGCCTATTGATTAGTCTATGAACTAGTCTTTGGACTTGTCTATCAACTAGTCTATCTATGGTTAAGTCTATTGATTAGTCTATGAACTAGTCTATTGATTAGTCTATGGACTCGCCTATTAACTAGCCTATGAAAATGTATATGGACTAGTATATGAACCAATATATGGACTAGTCTATGAACTAATCTATGGACAAGTCTATGGTCTAGTCTATTGAGTAGTCTATGGACTAGTCTATGGACTAATTTATTGGGTAGTCTATGGACTAGTCTATTCATTAGTCTACGGACTGGTCTATTGACTAGCCTATGAAATAGTATATGGAATAGTATATCAGTCCATGAACTAGTCTAGACAAGTCTATTGATTACTCTATGGGCTAGTCTATGGATTAGTGTGTGGACTAGTCTATTGACTAGTCTATAGTCTAATATATAGTCTAGTCTATTGCCTCCCCAGTTCCAAACTAATATCTTTTTTTTTTTCTTTTCACCAAGAACCAAATTTTACCAAAAAAAAAAACTTAATCTCTTTAGGTGTGGGCTTTGCACGCATGGAGAGTCGTGAGAAATGTGAACAGATTATACAGGTTTTGAATGGTACTACAATACCGGGTGCTAATGATCCATTGGTGGTGAAATTCGCCGATAGTTGTTCGTCGGCTAAAAAGAATTTATTGAAGGCACGAGATCCCAATAATCGCTCACGTCTGGATATATCGGCCGGAACCACAGGTATGGAAAGTATACCTGTGACCCCTGATCCAGGGGCTCAGCAAAATGGTAGTACAGCTGGCTATACTCGTTTTGGTACACCCCAAATAGGTAGTTATCCATTGGCTAGTTCTCCCTGGATACCCGGCTATATGATGGCAGCCGCGGCCACACAGCCAGCTACGGCCTTCGAAAATCAGGTAAGTGAATTACGGTTGGGGAAATTAAACACTAGAGTTGTCTTATTTTGAAATATTTTGTTCAACAGTATTTACAATTGGCCTCCTCGCCACAACATTTGAGTGTTTCTCCTTATAAGCCGGATTTGGTAAATGCCTTACAGGCTCCGGGCATGTATTTGAATGGTTCAGAGGCTGTTATGCAATATGGTGCTATGATGGGTCCACCCATGGGACCTTTACAGGTGAATTATATTTAAAATTTTTATGTATAAATTACATAATTTGCAAACAACATAAAATTATTTTTTTCTCACTATAAAACAAAAGAATTATTTGTATTTTAATTAATCCCACAATTTTCAGTATATAAGCCCTACATATCCCTATTATGCTCCAGCACCTCCTATGATTCCTACCATGTCTTTAACAGATTCTACAGATCAAACATTGAGTACTGCAGCTTCGCCTAATGGTGCTGCCTATACGCAATTCTTACATCCCTTAGCACCCAAGTAGATAAATTTACTATTAAGGTGAGTGAGTGGCTTAAGAAATTTTTACTAAATTTTATTTTTGTTAAAAACTGTTTTTTAATAAATTTTTCAAATATTTATTTTTTTTTTGATAATTCCCCCTCTAGTTCTGTCTAATTCAAAAAACCAGCGGAAGTGTAGTAAGAAACCAAAACATTTTTCCAATTTTTTGTGTTGAAAAAAACTTAAAATTTAAGATTTAAAATAAAAAACAAGAAAAAAAACGCTTTTTGTGGAAAAATATTTAAAAAACAAAAAAAAAAAAAATATAATATAAAAAGAAAAAAAATTCAGCAATTAAGGCATTTTTTACATGAATTCCATTAAACAAACAAGTTGGCAACCTTGTTTTAAACGCGGGTGATGTTAAGATTGATTGATCGAGCGTAAACATTTTTTAACCCAACAAACATTTTTGTTTTCAACTGAAGACAATCCAGTCGGGGAAAGAATCTAATGAATAAAAACCAGTAAAGAAGTAAAAAAAATTAAAAATTTAAGTGAAAAAAAGAAAAAAATAATAATTTTGTTTTTTGTTTTTAATTTTAATATATATTTTTTTTTTGGTAGTGTAATATTTAATAATAATTATAATATTATAAACAATTTTGCTCTCGTCTTATTTTAATTTTTGAGTAATTTTAAGCTGCACTTTCCTTTTATAACTTTCTACTTTTACAACTCGCCTCTTTATCTCTTTATTACTTTTATGGTTAAAATATAAGAAAAGGGGAGCTCTCATTCTAAATCGTGTGCTCTCGGTAATTTATTATTATTAGAAGTCATCATGTTTTTTTGATTTGTTTAGTTTAAGTAGTTCAGTAATAAATTAATGAATGTTTTTTCTTTAAAAAAAACCCCTCTTTTTCTTAAGCTATTTAAACTATTTTTGTAAAATTTTCCAAAAAAAAAGAAATCGAAAAAAATTTAATCCAGTAGTTCTTAAATGAAAAAAATTGTAGTAGTATAACTGAAAAAAAATAAAGTAAAAAATGGTAATAAAAACCATAAATAAAAACAGAAAGAAAAACCATGTTTTTAAATTTAAGTCAAAAGAAAAAAAAAACAGTAACAACATAAAAAAATAATTGTGGATGTATTATTTATTTTGAATAAAAACGAAAAACTTTGAAAATATTTTTAAGAAAAAAAAAATTCGAATGTGTTTTTATTTAATTGTGGCCGAATTTGTGACTAAAACTAAGGTAAGTAATAATTTAAATAAAAGTGGGCGAAGGGTGAGAATAGTTTTATTTTAAGGTGCAAATGTCAGCTTTAAGATTATGAACGTTGCCACGCCCTCTTCTTTAATTTTGTAGATTTATGCAAACACTTAAGGGTTTTCAATAATTCGATATCTTGAGAAGATCTTTTAACGAAATTTACCCATTACGAGTTACATAGGTCCCAGCAAATATTGCATCAGTTCCACAACTATTTCAAGAGCTCATCATAATAAGAATACTCGTTCTATATACTATTGCTGCCTTCCGAAATATTTTTGAGGAAGACTGGAATAGTTAACTGTAACCAGTTATTCAGTTTGTAAAGTGTGCCACGCCCACTACTTTAGTTTTTCCGATTCACTTAAAATCTTAAAGGATTTTTTATTTTTAATAATTCGATACCTTGCGGAAATTTTAACCAAATAGATTGAAAGATAAATAGATTGATAGATAAATAGATTGATAGATAAATAGATTGATAGATAAATAGATTGATAAATTAATAGATAAATAGATTGATAGATAAATAGATTGATAGATAAATAGATTGATAGATAAATAGATTGATAGATAAATAGATTGATAGATAAATAGATTGATAGATAAATAGATTGATAGATAAATAGATTGATAGATAAATAGATTGATAGATAAATAGATGATAGATAAATAGATAGATAGATAGATAGATAGATAGATAGATAGATAGATAGATAGATAGATAGATAGATAGATAGATAGATAGATAGATAGATAGATAGATAGATAGATAGATAGATAGATAGATAGATAGATAGATAGATAGATAGATAGATAGATAGATAGATAGATAGATAGATAGATAGATAGATAGATAGATAGATAGATAGATAGATAGATAGATAGATAGATAGATAGATAGATAGATAGATAGATAGATAGATAGATAGATAGATAGATAGATAGAGATAGATAGATAGATAGATAGATAGATAGATAGATAAGATAGATAGATAGATAGATAGATAGATAGATAGATAGATAGATAGATAGATAGATAGATAGATAGATAGATAGATAGATAGATAGATAGATAGATAGATAGATAGATAGATAGATAGATAGATAGATAGATAGATAGATAGATAGATAGATAGATAGATAGATAGATAGATAGATAGATAGATAGATAGATAGATAGATAGATAGATAGATAGATAGATAGATAGATAGATAGATAGATAGATAGATAGATAGATAGATTGACAGATAAATAGATTGATAGATAGATAAATAGACTGATAGATAAATAGATTGATAGATAAATAGATTGATAGATAAATAGATTGATAGATAATAGATTGATAGATAAATACATTGATAGATAAATAGATTGATAGATAAATAGATTGATAGATAAATAGATTGATAGATAAATAGATTGATAGATAAATAGATTGATAGAGAAATAGATTGATTGATAAATAGATTGATTGATAAATAGATAGATAGATAAATAGATTGATAGATTGATAGATAAATAGATAGACAGATAGATAGATAAATAGATAGATAGATAGATAGATAGATAGATAGATAGATAGATAGATAGATAGATAGATAGATAGATAGATAGATAGATAGATAGATAGATAGATAGATAGATAGATAGATAGATAGATAGATAGATAGATAGATAGATAGATAGATAGATAGATAGATAGATAGATAGATAGATAGATAGATAGATAGATAGATAGATAGATAGATAGATAGATAGATAGATAGATAGATAGATAGATAGATAGATAGATAGATAGATAGATAGATAGATAGATAGATAGATAGATAGATAGATAGATAGATAGATAGATAGATAGATAGATAGATAGATAGATAGATAGATAGATAGATAGATAGATAGATAGATAGATAGATAGATAGATAGATAGATAGATAGATAAAAGTAGAGGTATACTTAACACCAATCTAAAATAAAGACACAAATAAACAAACAACTTGACCAGCAAATTTTTCTATAGTCAAGACAAGAACCGCCAAATGTAGAGAAAATTTTGAGATGTAGTAAAATTGGTCTCAGGCCTACTATGACTTCATTTTCGGATTCGGCTAAAGCACTAATCTTAAATGTTAAATTTTTGCAGCTCTGGGCCTCAAGATCCCTATATAATGACACAAATTGCGTAAAATTAAAAATGTTTTTTGATGAATAATTATTGGTGCCAGCTCCATTCTGATCCCATTTTCGGATTCAGCATGGCATTTTACCAGGTGCGTTTGCAGCCAGATTCGGCCAGTAGTTCCCGAGTTTGAAGCAAAACTAAAAAAAATCATTGTTTCATCAATATTCCGGAAAGTTGTTTACTTTGAATAATTTGTGCTTTAATTTCGGAATCTTGAGGCCAAGTGCAACTGAAATTTGTCATTGAAGACTAATAACTATGCTGTATCCGAAAGTTTAGAATTGAGCTAAGTTCAATATTTCATAAAAATTTCAACACAAAAATTTTGAACCAAATAGGTATCCCGCAAAATTTCATGTCCCATTATGATATTTCTTACATATGTATATGTAAGGTTTTTGTCTTAGCTATCAACATTTTCAATTGTCATGACAAGAACCTAGGACCTAGGAACAAATGTACAACAAAATTTAAAATTTATTTTTGTTTTCGCTTTAATCTTTTAAACTACTGAAAGAATCTGACTTAAAAGTAACCTTTCAGGTAAAACCCCACTCCCAATCTGAATCCAAAAATGGACTCAGAATTAACCTAAGACCTATAATTTAATCAAAATTTCGGATTTCGTGACCGAAGGTGTCTAGATAACCAGTGTGTGTAAAAACACACCTATCAACTTACCTCTGTAAAAGGAGAAAATCTACAAAACTTTCTATAAAAAAGGGAAACTTTGACTAAAAATATTTATGAATATGAAATAGCTAAATTATTAGTAAGTATGCCATGCAAAAGTAAGTATAATTAAAATAAAATACAAAAATAACAACAATATAGAAAATATCATTTAGGGAAACCCTCATACTTTACCTCTTTGCTATTACATAAATTAACAGTGACATTTAACAGAACATACCATTCAACACCTACATACAAACTAAATTTCAAGGTAACTTTTAGTAAACAGAAATGTTAAATCATTAATAACAGCATCAGCAATGTTAAATCCCCCATACTCTCTGTTAGGTTCACATACTGTAAAATGTTTACTAACATTTAATAATGTTGTTCTCCTAGTGCAACTCTAATATAAAGTTAAGCGCATGTGTTGTTGCTAGATATATTATTATTTTGTTTATTATTGTTGTTGTTTATTTTATGCATTTGCTAATTCTCTAGTTCTCATGGTGAAATGTTAAATAAGTAAGAAATAAAAACAAAGAAAAGCATAGAAAAATACAAAAACAAATTAAATTGATGCGCTTTTTTTTTGTGTTCGCTGTTGGTCGGTCGGTTTTTTTTCGTTCAGTTGAAAGAAGTAATAGAGAAAGCAATAAAGAATCAACAGCATTTTTATTACTATTTCGTGTGTTTAGTACGTCGGGGAATTATTATTGTGTTGAGTGTGTTTTGTTAAGTGGAATTTCTATAAAAATAATTAATGTAAAATTAAGAAATTAATTTTAATATAATTTCATACAATTGTTAAAGATTTGCTAAGAAAATAGATTGAAACAAAAAGAAACGTGAAAAAAGCAGAAGTGTACAAGAATTTGCAGAAATAAAGTGAATCAACAACAAAAAATATTAATGCAAAATAGCTAGACCAGCAGGTGTAGTAAAAAGAAAGCAAAATCAAGACAAGACAAGACAATTCCCACCACAATTTGCAACATTAATAACAACAACAACAAACGGACTGAAAGTGCACTCGAGGAATAAGAAGCACAGGCTGTCAGGGTTGGAAAAATCAGTGGTATGGTAATTTTGACATCAATAAATATAGAGTAGTCTATGGACAAGCTTATAGACTAGACTAAAGACTAGACCGTAGACTAGGCTATAGCCAAGACTGTAGACTAGACTATGAACTAGACTATAGACTGGACTGTAAACTATACTGTATAATAGATTACATCCCAGACTAGACTTGTATAGACTAGACTATAGACTAGACTATAGACTAGACTATAGACTAGACTATAGACTAGACTATATATTAGACTATAGATTAGACAAGACTATAAACTAAACTATAGACTAGACTATAGACTAGACTATATACTAGACTATAGACTAGACTATAGACTAGACTATAGACTAGACTATAGACTAGACTATAGACTAGACTATAGACTAGACTATAGACTAGACTATAGACTAGACTATAGACTAGACTATAGACTATACTATAGACTAGATTATAGAATAGACTAGACTATAGACTAGACTATAGACTAGACTATAGACTAGACTATAGACTATAGACTAGACTATAGACTAGACTAGACTATAGACTAGACTAGACTATAGACTAGACTATAGACTAGACTATAGACTAGACTATAGACTAGACTATAGACTAGACTATAGACTAGACTATAGACTAGACTATAGACTAGACTATAGACTAGACTATAGACTAGACTATAGACTAGACTATAGACTAGACTATAGACTAGACTATAGACTAGACTATAGACTAGACTATAAACTAGACTATAGACTAGACTATAGACTAGACTATACCCTAGACTATAAACTAGACTATATACTAGACTATCAACTAGACTATAGACTAGACTATTGACTACACTATAGATTAGACTATAGACTATAGACTAGACTATAGACTTCACTATAGACTAGACTATAGACTAGATTAGACTTTGGACTAGACTATAGACTAGACTACCCTAGACTAAAACCTATGCTATATACTACAATATAGATTAGACTATTGACTAGACTATAGACTAGACTATAGACTAGACTATAGACTAGACTATAGACTAGACTACAGACTAGACTATAGACTAGACTATAGACTACACTATAGACTAGACTATAGACTAGACTATAGACTAGACTATAGACTACACTATAGACTAGACTATAGACTAGACTATAGAATAGACTAGACTATAGACTAGACTAGACTATAGACTAGGCTATAGACTAGACTATAGACTAGACTACAGAGTAGACAATAGACTAGACTATAGACTAGACTAGACTATAGACTAGACTAGACTAGACTATAGACTATAGACTATAGACTATAGACTATAGACTATAGACTATAGACTATAGACTATAGACTATAGACTATAGACTATAGACTATAGACTATAGACTAGACTAGACTATAGACTATAGACTAGACTAGACTATAGACTAGACTATAAACTTGACTTTAAGCTGGACTATAGACTGGACTGTACAATAGACTACAGACTATAAACTGGACTACACTAACTACATATTGAACTATAAGTTAGAGAACAGACTACAATATGGACTAGACTATAAATTAGCCTCATACTGGATTAAACTATAGACTAGACATGCAGTATAGAGTAAGAAAGACGAAACGCTTGATTATAGATTGTACTTTAGAGCATAATATGGACTAGACTTTTGATATTAGTTTCAAAATTTCGATTTTCCATGTCTGGACTGCATTTTTAGTTTTGTGAAAATAATAATAACAACCATAATAACAAAAGAGGAGTAGACAGACTTTGGTTTAGTAGTGGCACCCTGTTTAAAAAGTACTCTAGTGTGTTGTTGTTGTTGCTGCTGTAATATTTTTGCCTTAAACTTTGAATGAATACCGTTTGTTCGTTTGTATGTTGTCATTTTCTACTTCTTCTTCACCGTTTTAATAGTATTTACACTTTTTTCTTGTGGCGATGCTAATTATAATTATGCAAGTGAAAACCAATTGAATATAAAATACAATAAATAAATAAAAAATAACAAATAATTGAATAAAAAACGTGAAAAACTCAACAACACGAATAATAAATAAATAAAAACGATAAATAACACCAAAATAGATAAAAACAAGTATTTAGTGCATAAAGCAAAATAAAAACACAAAATCGCCAAAAGTCGTTGAACTAAAAAAATTACACACGTAACAACAAATTCTCATAACGGTACTTGTTGTAAAAACATAAACTTAAAAATATTGTTTTATAATTAATAACAAAAACAGAGTGCAATACATAGTTTTTTAATAAAGAAAAAAGAAAATCAAAACAAAATTGTAACAAAGTGTCTGTCTAGTTTTTTTTGTGACATTTTAGTGATTATTTTTTATTCATATTTTTGGACCCCAGACATTTACATACATACATATGTACGTATATACGTTGGACAACATTTATTCAACTAACGCGTGCTCTCTCTCTGTGTTTCTTTTGCAGCAGAATAATATCTCTCTATTTTTGTAACATTTTACTCTCGGTGAAACCTTGTTATTGGTCTAGTAAATAGAGTTGCCAGCACATTTTTATATATTATACATAATAAATTAAAATTAATTCAAATTTATTTAGAATTATATAGATTAGACTAGACTGGACTACAGTTTAGACTATACTAACTATATACTGGACTATAGGATAAACTACAAACTAGAATATGGACTAGATTATACTTTTTATAATAGATTAGACTATAAAGTAGACTACAAACAGGACTCGACTCTAAACTATAAAGTAAACACAGGTTCAACTATAGTCTAGTATAGACTAGACTTTAGAATATAGACTAGACTATAGACTAGACTATAGACTAGACTATAGACTAGACTATTGCCTAGACTATAGACTAGACTAGACTTTAGACTAGACTAGACTATAGACTAGGCTATAGACTAGACTATGGACTAGACTATAGACTATACTATAGACTAGACTATAGACTAGACTATACTCTAGACTATAGACTACACTACAGACTAGACTATAAACTAGACTATAGACTAGACTACAGACTAGACTATAGACTAGACTATAGACTAGACTATAGACTAGACTATAGACTAGACTATAGACTAGACTATAGACTAGACTATAGACTAGACTATAGACTAGACTATAGACTAGACTATAGACTAGACTATAGACTAGACTATAGACTAGACTATAGACTAGACTATAGACTAGACTATAGACTAGACTATAGACTAGACTATAGACTAGACTATAGACTAGACTATAGACTTCAGAATTAACCATTGAGTAGAATAGACTATAGACTAGAATATAGACTAGACTATAGACTAGGCTATATACTAGACTATAGACTAGACTATAGACTAGACTATAGACTAGACTATAGACTAGACTATAGACTAGACTATAGACTAGACTATAGACTAGACTATAGACTAGACTATAGAGTAGACTATAGACTAGACTATAGACTAGACTATAGACTAGACTATAGACTAGACTATAGCCTAAGACTATAGATAGACATAGACTATACTATAACAGACTATAGACTAGATATAGACTAGACTATCGACTAGACTATAGACTGACTATAGACTAGACTATAGACTAGACTCAGATTAAGATGTATTAAATAGAGTAGAATAGACTATAGATAGACAATAGACGAGAATCAGACTAGACTATAGCACTAGACTATAGATAGATAAGACTAGAACCTATAGACTGACTAAGATCGATATAGATATAGACTAGTACTATGACTAGACTATAGACTAGCGACTATAGACTGACTATAGACTAGACATAGACTAGGACTATAGACTAGACTATAGCTAGATATAGATAGACTATAGACTAGACATAGGACTAGACTAGACTAGACTATAGACTATATACTAGACTAGACTATAGACTAGGACTATAGACTAGACTATAGACTAGACTTATCGACTAGACTATAGACTAGACCTAGATAGACTATCGACTAGCCTATAGACTAGACTAATAGACTCGACTATAGACTAGACTATAGACTAGACTAGACTATAGACTAGACTATAGACTAGACTATAGACTAGACTAGACTATAGACTAGACTATAGACTAGACTAGACTATAGACTAGACTATAGACTAGACTAGACTATAGACTAGACTATAGACTAGACTATAGACTAGACTATAGACTAGACTATAGACTAGACTATAGACTATAGACTAGACTATAGACTAGACTATAGACTAGACTAGTAGACTACTATAGACTAGACTATTGACTAGACTATAGACTAGACTATAGACTAGACTATAGACTAGACTATAGACTAGGCTATAGACTAGACTGTAGACTAGACTATAGACTAGACTAGCCTAGACTATAGACTAGACTATAGAGTAGACTATAGAGTAGGCTATAGACTAGACTAACTATACTAACTATATACTGACTACAGACTAGAATATGGATTAGATTATTGTGTTTTTACAATAGACTATAGACTAGACTATAGACTAGACTATAGACTAGACTATAGACTAGACTAGCTTAGACTATAGACTAGACTATAGAGTAGACTATAGAGTAGGCTATAGACTAGACTAACTATACTAACTATATACTGACTACAGACTAGAATATGGATTAGATTATTGTGTTTTTACAATAGTCTATATAATAGACTACAGACTAGAATATGGATTAGATTATTGTGTTTTTACAATAGATTAGACTATAAAGTAAACTACAAACTAGACTATATAGGCTATATACTACACTACACACTAGACTATGCTAAAGATTCGACTGTAAATTAGACTACATACTAGACAAAACTATAGACTAGACTAAACGCTAGAATATATATTAGAGTCTAAAGCAGAATATAGAGACTTGTAGTGTAAATTTTAAATTTAACTAAAAAACAAAATGTGTTTTACATTTACGTCTGAATTTTTAATCCCAAAAATTAATATTTTAGTCTTCTCTTATCTATAACGCTGATCCTAACTGTGACAAACAGTTTGAAAAATAGGGTAAATGTACCAATAGTCGGCAGTTTAACTTTTTTCTCTTTTTCAAACTATCCCCCTAAAGAGTCGGAAAATGTTATTACGATGATTTTTAGTTATTTCAATTATGTGTTTAGTTAAGTTTTAGATCCATTTAACTTTTTTGAAAAACAAATAACTAGTTTTTAGTAATTTGTAAATTTTGTTAAAAACTCCACATTTTCCAATAGTCGGCACCAGTGTTCCTAAGTTCGACAAAAAATGTCCCTATAGTCGGCAGTAGATTTTTTGTTTGAAAAAACATATTTATTTATAGAAAAAAGTGATATATACACAATTTTCCAAAGAAAATATTTAATTAAATTTTTTCTATAGAAATAACTAATAATATCGTTTTTTCTGTAGAAAAATATGTTATAAACATAATTATAATTGTAATAAGTATACATAATAACATTTTTTTTCTATAGAAAAAGAGTTATACATGCAATTTTCTATACAATATTATATTTTTTGTTAGAGAAAAAAGTAATTTTTATAGGGAAAAGTGTTATATGTACTGTTTTTTAAAGAAAATCTTTATAAAAATATGCAATTTCCCATAGGAAAAAAATTAAACATAAGTTTCGTAGAGGATATTATAATAAGAACACTTTTCTATAGAAAAATTGTCATACTAGGAATTTTCTATAGAAAAAAATTGTTATACTCATAATTTTTTGTAAAAAAAACAGTTAAGAAGCAATTTTTGTTAGAAAAAATTTAGATATGCAAAATTTTTAATAGAAAAAACTGTTATACACATATTTTTTGTATAGAAAATTATATTCTGTAGTAGAAAATTGTAATCTTCTATAGAAAAAGCTATTATAGAAGTAATTTTCTATAGAAAAAAAGGTATACACACAATTTTTCATAGAGAAAACTGATATACACATAATTTTTTGTATCAAAGATTGTTATACATAAAATTTTCTATAGAAAAAAATTGTTTACACATAATTCTCTATAGAAACAAATGTTGTACAATCAATTTTCTATAGAGGAAATTGTAATATACATAAATTTTTTATAGAGAAAAGAGTTATACATAAATTTTTTTACAAAAATAACTGTTATACGTATAATTTTGAAGAGAAAATTGTTATATAGAAATTTTTCATAGTAATATACCCAATTTTTTCTATAGAGAAATAATAAATTTTAGAGTGCCGACTATAGAATACGTATGATCGAACTTAATACCCAGTAGTCGGCACCCCTATGCCGACAATAAGAATTCATAAAAAATTGTTTTCCTAATGGCGGCAGCGATTAAAATTACAAAAAAATATATTTTTAACTAACTTTTTCACTTTAAATTGAATATTTCAACTGTTTTCTTTCATTTAAATCAATTTTTGTCAAATAAATCATTTAATTTCATATAAATATTCACTTGTTTAAGGTGGCACTAAAACTAATTTTTTTTTTTTAAGAAAACTGACAGTACTACAAATGCTGCAAAGCTGTCACTAAATAACGTCAAATATAGAGGAAATTAGTAATCCTACTTAAATTTACTCATTTCATAAAGCAAAAAGACCATATTTTCTATGAAATATAGATCAAACCTTAATAAATTTGTACAGCTTTTCTTATTTATTTACATTTTTATGTAAAAGATGCCGACTACTGGGTGATGCCGACATTAGGTGCATTTACCCTATATCAAAATTTGTTAAACATTTACGTCTGAACTTTTAATACAAAAAGTTACATTTTTAGTCTTCTGTCTATAACTATGATCCCAGCTCTTAGCAAACATTTTGATAAAGATTTCAAGCAAATTCACCTTCGTGAGAAGAGGAAATTGGTTTTCCGAATTTTCGAACACTAGGCTTATATTGTTACCAAGTACTTTAAAATGTTAATTTATTTTTTTATCGCTGCTATTTTAAATATTGGACTTTTCATAGAATCTTATAAGGAATCTACGATCAATAAGTACATATTTCTTTCCTTGTAATAATTTTCTTAATATAATCAAAATGCCTACTTTGTATAATATATAATTATGTTAACATTGGCAACCCTGTCCGCTACTAATACATAATATTGATATTGTTGGCATTTTGCAGCCATTGCCCTTAGATTACAGGCAAACAACATATCCAACCAAATTTTTGCATAGAGATGCCAAATTTCTAACAAGAAAAGTAATTTATACAACAATTAATACATATACAACAACAGCAAATAACATATTTTTCTACAACAAAACAAATTATTGAAATATTTTGAGCAAAAAAAAAAAAACAAACTTTAATAAATTTTAGTGAATGTGAGTTTTTATTGTTTACATTAAATTTCCATAACAGACTGAGACTGCATTAGTGTGCCTATAAAACTTTACAACAACAACAAAAACTGATTTGCAAAAACAAAAAGAGTGAAATTCCTATTCTATAAAAACGTAACACCAACCCAACAACAACTACTTTATGCTAAATTAAAACTAGCAACAACAACAAATAATCTTCCATATTCTAAACAAAACAGAAAAGCATCCCAATTATCTTATCTCTATTTATAAAACTAAAAAAGATTTATAAAAAAAAAAAACAACAAAAAACCAACAAACATTAACTAATTTGTTTATATTCATGTTACTCTTATCTTAACGTAAAAAACAAAAACAGCAACTAGAAAAAACCAAAACAAATAATAAAGAAAATATCAACACTAACAACAACTACCGACTACAGCAAACACAATTTACAGAAATTCAAAACAAAAACAACGCCCGTTATTTTGCCATCTGTTCTTCTTACAGCAAAATCATAACAGAGCCAAGAATCAATAATAAAAACAAACAACGTCTATCGTTCGCGTTCTCTTAAATCGTTTTATTCGCAATAAAAGTCTCTCTTAAAGTGTAAACGAGAAAAAAGTAAAAACAATTGCCGGTTAACTTTTGACATTTGCTTTTAAACGCGTTCGCGTATATTTGTTTGAGTGTGTGTTTATAAATAATAAAAAAATAAAGTGTTTTTTTTCCGTTTCGCCCCCGCGTTCGATTACCGTGTAGCGTGAGTGTAAGTGAGAGTGAGTGTGTGTATTATTGCCATATCTATAGAAAATAATTAGAAAAAATAGTGTGAAAGTGTTTAAATTCTCATTCATCCCCATCACTTGATTTGTTAAGCGGTTAATTGGTTTAACTTTTCTAATCGTCTACTGGTAAGTGGCCATATTTTTAGTTTGTTGTTGTTTTTTAATTTTAATATGTATTTTAATTTAATACTGTTAATATAAGTTTTTAAATGGTTGCAAAGTTTTGGAGGGTTCGTAGTTGCCACCATATTACGATTGTTTTAAAAATTAAAACACAATTGGGGACTATTTCATACTGGTTCATTTCCCGAACGGTTAACTAACTACTTAGTAGTTGCTTACTTCTGTAACAACTAACTAACTAAAATATAAAAGTCCATTTTCTGGCTAAACTAGAGGCGCTAGGTCAAAAAGAAAGAAAATCTGTGATCACTTTAATTTCCCACCAAAATCGATTTTTTAGTGAAAACATAAAGGTCCATTTTCTGACTAAACTAGATGCGCTAGGTCATAAAGAAAGAAAATCTTTGATCACTTTAATTTCCCACCAAAAACCGATTTTTTGAGTGAAAACATAAAAGTCCATTTTCTGGCTAAACTAGAGGCGCTAGGGTCAAAAGAAAGAAAATCTGTGATCACTTGAATTTTCCATCAAAAACCGATTTTTTGAGTGAAAATATAAAAGTCCGTTTTCTGGCTAAACTAGAAGAGCTAGGGCAAAAAGAAAGAAAATCTGTGATCACTTGAATTTCCCATCAAAAAACCGATTTTTTGAGTGAAAACATAAAAGTCCGTTTTCTGGCTAAACTAGAGGCGCTAGGGCCAAAAGAAAGAAAATCTGTGATCACTTTAATATCTCACCAAAAACCGATTTTTTGATCACTTTAATTTCTCACTAAAAACTAATTTTTTGAGTGAAAATATAAAAGTCCGTTTTCTGGCTAAACTAGAGGCGCTACGGCAAAAAGAATGAAAATCTGTGATCACTTTAATTTCTCACCAAAAATCGATTTTTTGAGTGAAAATATAAAAGTCCGTTTTCTGGCTAAACTAGAGGCGCTAGGGCCAAAAGAAAGAAAATCTGTGATCACTTTAATTTCCCATCAAAAACCGATTTTTTGAGTGAAAACATAAAAGTCCATTTTCTGGCTTAACTAGAGGCGCTAGGGCCAAAAGAAAGAAAATCTGTGATCACTTTAATTTTTCACCAAAACCGATTTTTTTGATCACTTTAATTTCTCACCAAAAACTGATTTTTTGAGTGAAAATATAAAAGTCCGTTTTCTGGCTAAACTAGAGGCGCTAGGGCAAAAAGAAAGAAATCTGTGATCACTTGAATTTCCGATCAAAAACCGATTTTTTGAGTGAAAACATAAAAGTCCGTTTTCTGGCTAAACTAGAGGCGCTAGGGCAAAAAGAAAGAAAATCTGTGATCACTTGAATTTCCCATCAAGAACTGATTTTTTGAGTGAAAATATAAAAGTCCGTTTTCTGGCTAAACTAGAAGCGCTAGGGCAAAAAGAAAGAAAATCTGTGATCACTTGAATTTCCCATCAAAAACCGATTTTTTTGAGTGAAAACATAAAAGTCCATTTTCTGGCTTAACTAGAGGCGCTAGGGCCAAAAGAAAGAAAATCTGTGATCACTTTAATTTCTCACCAAAAACTGATTTTTTGAGTGAAAATATAAAAGTCCGTTTTCTGGCTAAACTAGAGGTGCTAGGGCAAAAAGAAAGAAAATCTGTGATCACTTTAATTTCCCATCAAAAACTGATTTTTTGAGTGAAAATATAAAAGTCCGTTTTCTGGCTAAACTGGAGGCGCTAGGTCAAAAAGAGAGAAAATCTGTGACCACTTGAATTTCCCATCAAAAACCGATTTTTTGAGTGAAAATATAAAAGTCCGTTTTCTGGCTTAACTAGAGGCGCTAGGGCCAAAAGAAAGAACATCTGTGATCACTTGAATTTCTCACCAAAAACCGATTTTTTGAGTGAAAATATAAAGTCCGTTTTCTGGCTAAACTAAAGGCGCTAGGGCAAAAAGAAAGAAAATCTGTGATCACTTGAATTTCCCATCAAAAACCGATTTTTTTGAGAGAAAACATAAAAGTCCGTTTTCTGGCTAAACTAGAGGCGCTAGGGCCAAAAGAAAGAAAATCTGTGATCACTTGAATTTCCCACCAAAAATCGATTTTTTGAGTGAAAATATAAAAGTCCGTTTTCTGGTTAAACTAAAGGCGCTAGGGCAAAAAGAAAGAAAATCTGTGATCACTTGAATTTCCCATCAAAAACCGATTTTTTGAGAGAAAACATAAAAGTCCGTTTTCTGGCTAAACTAGAGGCGCTAGGGCCAAAAGAAAGAAAATCTGTGATCACTTTAATTTCCCACCAAAAACCGATTTTTTGAGTGAAAATATAAAAGTCCGTTTTTCTGGTTAAACTAAAGGCGCTAGGGCAAAAAGAAAGAAAATCTGTGATCACTTGAATTTCCCATCAAAAACCGATTTTTTGAGAGAAAACATAAAAGTCCGTTTTCTGGCTAAACTAGAGGCGCTAGGGCAAAAAGAAAGAAAATCTGTGATCACTTGAATTTCCCATCAAAAACTGATTTTTTGAGTGAGAATATAAAGGTCCGTTTTCTGGCTAAACTAGAAGCGCTAGGGCAAAAAGAAAGAAAATCTGTGATCAATTGAATTTCTCACCAAAAACTGATTTTTTGAGTGAAAATATAAAAATCCGTTTTCTGGCTAAACAAGAAGCGCTAGGGCAAAAAGAAAGAAAATCTGTGATCACTTGAATTTCCCATCAAAAACAGATTTTTTGAGTGAAAATATAAAAGTCCGTTTTCTGGCTAAACTAGAAGCGCTAGGGCAAAAAGAAAGAAAATCTGTGATCACTTGAATTTCCCATCAAAACCCGATTTTTTGAGCGAAAACATAAAAGTCTATTTTCTGGCTAAACTAGAGGCGATAGGGCAAAAAGAAAGAAAATCTGTGATCACATTAATTTCTCACCAAAACCGATTTTTTGAGTGAAAACATAAAAGTCCGTTTTCTGGCTAAACTAGGGGCGCTGGGGCAAAAGAAAGAAAATCTGTGATCACTTTAATTTCTCACCAAAAACTGATTTTTTGAGTGAAAATATAAAAGTCCGTTTTCTGGCTAAACTAGAGGCGCTAGGGCAAAAAGAAAGAAAATCTGTGATCACTTTAATTTCCCATCAAAAACCGATTTTTTGAGTGAAAATATAAAAGTCCGTTTTCTGGCTAAACTAGAGGCGCTAGGTCAAAAAGAAAGAAAATCTGTGATCACTTTAATTTCTCACCAAAAACTGATTTTTTGAGTGAAAATATAAAAGTCCGTTTTCTGGCTAAACTAGAGGCGCTAGGGCAAAAAGAAAGAAAATCTGTGATCACTTGAATTTCCCATCAAAAACCGATTTTTTGAGCGAAAACATAAAAGTCCGTTTTCTGGCTAAACTAGAGGCGCTAGGTCAAAAAGAAAGAAAATCTGTGATCACTTTAATTTCCCATCAAAAACCGATTTTTTGAGTGAAAATATAAAAGTCCGTTTTCTGGCTAAACTAGAGGCGCTAGGGCAAAAAGAAAGAGAATCTGTGATCACTTTAATTTCCCATCAAAAACCGATTTTTTGAGTGAAAATATAAAAGTCCGTTTTCTGGCTGAACTAGAGGCGCTAGGGCAAAAAGAAAGAAAATCTGTGATCACTTTAATTTCCCATCAAAAACCGATTTTTTGAGTGAAAATATAAAGGCCCGTTTTCTGGCTGAACTAGAAGCGCTAGGGCAAAAAGAAAGAAAATCTGTGATCACTTGAATTTTCCATCAAAAACCGATTTTTTGAGTGAAAATATAAAAGTCCGTTTTCTGGCTGAACTAGAAGCGCTAGGGCAAAAAGAAAGAAAATCTGTGATCACTTGAATTTCCCATCAAAAACCGATTTTTTGAGTGAAAATATAAAAGTCCGTTTTCTGGCTGAACTAGAAGCGCTAGGGCAAAAAGAAAGAAAATCTGTGATCACTTGAATTTCCCATCAAAAACTGATTTTTTGAGTGAAAATATAAAAGTCCGTTTTCTGGCTAAACTAGAAGCGCTAGGGCAAAAAGAAAGAAAATCTGTGATCACTTGAATTTCCCATCAAAACCCGATTTTTTGAGCGAAAACATAAAAGTCTATTTTCTGGCTAAACTAGAGGCGATAGGGCAAAAAGAAAGAAAATCTGTGATCACATTAATTTCTCACCAAAAACCGTTTTTTTGAGTGAAAACATAAAAGTCCGTTTTCTGGCTAAACTAGGGGCGCTGGGGCAAAAAGAAAGAAAATCTGTGATCACTTTAATTTCTCACCAAAAACTGATTTTTTGAGTGAAAATATAAAAGTCCATTTTCTGGCTAAACTAGAGGCGCTAGGGCAAAAAGAAAGAAAATCTGTGATCACTTTAATTTCCCATCAAAAACCGATTTTTTGAGTGAAAATATAAAAGTCCGTTTTCTGGCTAAACTAGAGGCGCTAGGTCAAAAAGAAAGAAAATCTGTGATCACTTTAATTTCTCACCAAAAACTGATTTTTTGAGTGAAAATATAAAAGTCCGTTTTCTGGCTAAACTAGAGGCGCTAGGTCAAAAAGAAAGAAAATCTGTGATCACTTGAATTTCCCATCAAAACCGATTTTTTGAGCGAAAACATAAAAGTCCGTTTTCTGGCTAAACTAGAGGCGCTAGGTCAAAAAGAAAGAAAATCTGTGATCACTTTAATTTCCCATCAAAAACCGATTTTTTGAGTGAAAATATTAAAGTCCGTTTTCTGGCTAAACTAGAGGCGCTAGGGCAAAAAGAAAGAGAATCTGTGATCACTTTAATTTCCCATCAAAAACCGATTTTTTGAGTGAAAATATAAAAGTCCGTTTTCTGGCTGAACTAGAAGCGCTAGGGCAAAAAGAAAGAAAATCTGTGATCACTTGAATTTCCCATCAAAAACTGTTTTTTTGAGTGAAAATATAAAAGTCCGTTTTCTGGCTAAACTAGAGGCGCTAGGTCAAAAAGAAAGAAAATCTGTGATCACTTTAATTTCCCATCAAAAACTGATTTTTTGAGTGAAAATATAAAAGTCCG